CATCTTAGAAGAAACTGAGTGAAGAATGCTTGAAATTCCTCCGGGTGAATGCTTGAAAGTTCGAAAGTTTACTGTAACTTGAAAATCGAAACGTCGACTCCGCCATTTGACCTTTACAAGGGGTTTAAATGTTGATGCCACGTCGACATTTCACTAGGCGCGTCACGTCGGCAACTGGGGGTCCGAACTGAAAAAAAAAGGTTAAATTTTTAAAAGGCGACGCCTTAAATATATGAGGCGAGGCGCGCCTTATGGCACGCCTCAGTAAACTTGAGGCGTAAGCCTCATAAACTAAACTTATTGCGTAGGCTTTGAGGCTTATTTGGTCGAAATTGCGCTGAGGCGCGCCTTTTATTGCGCAATTTTAAACGTTGCTTGGAGGCCCTCTTATTAAAACAAGTGAGCTTTCAGTTTTACTTGACTTGAATTAAAAGAGTTTTCTGAGACTGGGCTTGACTGGAAATCCAATTTTGAGGTAACTTGAAGTGAGAGTGAGTTGAATCAAAATAAGATTTTACATTCGGCATTTGTTTGAAGTGCTATGCACTAAAGTGTTTGTTATTAACATGCATGGAGTTCACGTTTTTATCTTGAAATAAATTATTGATGGACAAGGTGGCTATTGTTGAACTCTCTCTCTAATATTAGTCAATGCACTATTTAGAAGGATTATAACATTGGTGCTTTTGTTGTAGCTATTGTAATCTTGCCATCGACATATTCTAGATTCATATATATGATTTCTTCAGCTTGCTTTTACCTTATTTTTGAATGCACATTTAGTAAGAACAATAGTAACAAAAAAAAGATGAGATCATATAAATTTAATTTAAGGATTTATAAGGAAAGTTGATCTTTATTTTTGTAAACTTTTTTATATTGCTCCATGAACTCCCTGGTTGTTTTATATGCTTGTGCATGATCTCATACATTTAGCCATTCTTATTTTTTGTGTTAAAAACAATGGAGAAAATGTTTTCATATGATTAGTAGAATAAAGATAATTTAATGTGCCATTTTAGTAGGTTTAACATTACTAGTTATCAATCAATATTAATAGAAGATAAAATGATATTTAAATGTTATTTGTTTAAATACATTGAATTTGTGATGCATAAGATAAAGATATAAATGAGAGTTTAATTTATGGTATTAAAGTTGGATGGTTAAAATATAGAAGTGCTTTGAGAGTACTTGGTAAGAGATTATCATGGACATTTAATTGAGTTTCTTCAAATTGTAATTGGACTAGCTATGTGTTGTGTTGATTTGGGTGTGAGGCAAGAAAGAATTCATTGATAAATAAGTTGGTTGCAAAAACGAGAATGCGAAAGATGGATGCTATGGAAAAATAAGGAGGGATAAATTGAGAAATGATTATATTTGAGGGACGGAGAGTAGCATATGTTGAAGATAGGGTAGAACAAAAAAAAAAAAGGTGATTAGGGCATTTATAATGATGGGTCGAATATGCTCCGGTAAGATAGGCGGATAAAATTAATGTCAATAGATCAGAAAAAGTGTAGATTGAAGTTAAGATGCATAGAAGCTGTGCAAAAGAACTTGTATAAAATATTTTACACCAAAAAAACAAAACTGGGATGATTATGAGATTTGGATTCATATAGCTAACCTCATATAACTGGAATAATGCTAGTGATTTTGATGATTATTATCTGTTCGGTTAATATGCTTCTCATTCACAAAAAAAAAGGAATGTTTAAGGATTAGTGTAGAAAGTTTTTAAAATCGCAGCACAGCTTTATGCATGTTGAAAATTAATATTTTCATTTGTTTAATTAAATTGAAACCTTTTTTATGGCATCCAAACGTTCATTTTACCCATGTTTATTATATAATATTTTTATATTATTCCTGTTTTGGTGATGTTGTGAACTATGCTCATGCAGTATGGACATATTGTGGATGTTGATCTAAAGATTCCTCCAAGGCCACCAGGTTATGCTTTTGTTGAGGTAATAGAAGAGCCGTTGTCAAGCGTATCACTTGCAAAGAATGCTTGCAAATAGTTAACTCAATTAATTTGGTTTGATGTGGCATATCATAGTTTTCTTGTTCTAGGAATTATGATTTTCCTTATGCTGCTACTTGTTTTAGTTTGATGATGCCCGAGATGCGGATGATGCTATTCGGGGTCGTGATGGCTATAATTTTGACGGCCATAGGCTACGTGTAAGTATGCTCTTTTGATGACTTTTGTTATACGTCAGCACTTGGCTTGTAATTTTTTCTGATATCCACATACCTGTGCAGGTAGAACTGGCACATGGTGGAAGAGGTCACTCTTCATCACATGATCGCAATAGCAGTTATAGTGGTAACCGTGGTGTTTCTAGGCGTTCAGACCATCGAGGTTTGTTTAATTAGCTTATAGTTTTCAGTAGGTATTCTGGATTTCAGTTGCACCCATTTTTGCTTTGATTTACCCCTTGTTATGCAGTTCTGGTTACTGGTTTACCTCCTTCTGCATCATGGCAAGACTTGAAGGTTACTTCATATGTCCGCTCTGACTCTGATGGTCATTTAATATATCTTTACAATCTTTATAAAAGTTTTCTTATGGAAATTCCCCCTCCATGATCAGGATCACATGCGTCGAGCTGGTGATGTCTGTTTCTCCCAAGTTTTTCGTGACGGTGGTGGTGAGCTCATAAATAAACCGATCCCCTTTTCCAGAAATTTGAATTACCCAGTGGGACAAGATTTACTACTTTTGATGTTTTGAAATGATTTTGTGCTAGTGGTTGGATTTAGTTAGTAATGACAGTACAGACCTTTGACTGCTACGTGCTTAGTTTGCATGAATATTACAAGTGTATGAACTGTGCAAGTCTATCAGAATGATTAGACATTAGCTAAATGGAATCACAAATCTAAAACTTCGTTTCTTATTTTAATTATTTTCAAATTATTTATTGGAGTTGGCTTTCCATGCACCTAAAGGTACTTGCAGCATTTTTTGGTAGTTGAGATTGTTTGTAACTCCGAATTGCCCCTTTTCAGGATATTGTTTTGCATTCTTTGTTTTTTTTTTAAACCCGGGGCCTCTATTTTCATATATACCTTTATCCATTGAATTTCATGTCCGAGGGAATTTTCCATAGTAAGGTTGAGATTGTTGCATGAGCTATGCTAATAGAAATAGATGGAGAGGACTAATGAGATGTTGGGTTTTAGGAATATTTATTAGGTAGAGAAACAAGCAAGGGTCATAGTTTGTCTGTAATTCGTCTCTTCAATAAGTGCTTAATAAGTGTCTAGGAGGCGTCCCAAAAGTATTGGAATTAGTGTTATTGAAGGTATTAGATGCACTCGAGGCAATGAAACTGTCTAATGCGTAAAACGTTAGACTCCCTTGAGCTAAGTTTGTGCTAAATATTTCAGTTATGTTAATTTTGAGAAATACATTTTGACAGTGAAATGAATATTATTAAAATATTACAGTATATTAAAGAAAAAAATATAAATTTTATGTTTTATTTTATTTCAAATACCAAAATGACAACCTTACTACCCAGACTCTTTTCCCCATCACTACATTATAGCCCTTTGGCTCTTTAATCTTCTACTCTCATCGTCTTTCTTATCAAAATCTATTTTTGTAGAACTAGAAGCTCATACCTTCATTAATTTGACATACATTCTAGCCTGCGTACTTATTTTTCCTATAACTTTTGATGCTCTAACTCTCCCTGTGCCAACTATTCAGCATCGAACACTAGCTTATCTTCGACATTTGAGGTAGTGGCACTTGTCTCTCCAAATAATCACTCATTACTATCATCAATGTCGTTGAGAAGATTTTCTCCAAATAATCACTCATTACTATCATCAATGTCGTTGAGAAGATTGGATCAATGAATTCCACATCTCGTAATGAATGTTAAGAGCTTGATTTTACTTAGATAAATTAGATCATGTAATTTATGATGATCCAATCTGTATCCAGATGTCTTTTCTAAGTTCCCAATGATGTTGTCATGTTTATTACTTTAATTTAGGCCCCTTCGTATGTTATGTTATGTATAATTTTATGCCTTGATAAAGAAATTTTCTTTAAAGAAAGCAAACCTCATCACCTAGCAGCAAGCCCCTCATCCTGGGGTAGCATCGAAGTAGTGGCATGTTGGGAGGAATGTGGGGTGCTGCGTCCTCAAATCGCCCTGGTGCCTAGGTGAGTGCCCAGAGCGTCTGCAGTAACACTGGTTGGAATTTTTTAAAAAATTAAAAGAATGAGATGACACATTATATATTAGGCATGGTGTCCTTGAGTGTCTGACTAAGTTTCCAAGTCGCACGATGGCCCTTTAGAATTGCTTGTGAGTGAATGATCAATTGTTTCCTTTTCTAGCATTATTCTTTTCATGACTGTCCTTTCTCTGCTATATCCTCATGCACATTCCATCTTCCAACATCTACCCCTATACATTTCCACCCCTTGCTATTATTAAGAAGTAAAGGATGTTTTCCTTTGCAAACGGTACTGCTATTGTTGATTTTATGAACTATGATGATATGAAGTATGTGTTACAAAATGATCAGCATTTGGGTAACCATGCATTTTGCAGGCACTACTGGTATTGTTGATTATACAAACTATGAGGATATGAAGTATGCGGTAAGTTGTATTATTTTTAACCAAGGTGTAGCACAAATTCTTTGTTGGTCTGTACTTTTATTTGTTCCTGTTCTAGCTTTTTTCTTTTCAGATTTTTAGAATTATATCTAATTGTTTTCTTTTGACTTAGATAAGGAAGCTTGATGATTCTGAGTTTCGCAATGCATTTTCTAAATCATATATAAGGGTGAGTTCTGTCACAGGACTGTTTTGAGCTTGTCAGGTATCTCCTGAAGCTGTCATCATATGTTGCTACAGGTACGGGATTATGATTCCAAACGAAGCTTGTCTAGAAGCCGTAGTCGTAGTCGTAGTCGTAGCCGTTCTAATGGGAAAAGCCCCAGCCGTAATAGAAGTTACAGTCATAGCAGGAGCCGTAGCAGAAGGTTTGATGCATGTTAACTTGCATTTAGCCTTGAATAGTGTTGAGATTGATTTATAACTTAATATATTCAAATTTGTATGCAGCAAGTCTCCTAAACCTAAATCTGCACGTCGTTCTCCTTCCAAATCTAGATCACGATCTGTTTCCTCTCATTCTCGTTCAGGGTCAAAAGATTCTTTACCAGGGTATGATCTTTTGCCTTTTCCCATGTTCCCTCCTAGCTAACCTAGTTTCCTAATGTTAATTCAGTATTCTTGGTCACTTTGGTGTTTGGTCTTTTACCATTGGAGATTGTATTACATTGGAACACGGAAGATGTCATTTATTATCCTTTTTTTTTCTCTCTCTCTCTTGTTCTTATATCAGCAAAATGATAACAGCAGATATTCTTCTAGCTTATATGTTATGCCTCAAAAGTATTTAAATTTTTAACTATTTATACATTCAAGTAACTATTCTTTTTTATCTTTACTTATTTTCCTTTATTTATTTTTTTGTTATTTTAATTTTGTATTTAAGATTATAAATTTTTAGGTCTTTTTTGCCTATGTACAAAAAGCAAATCCATTACATTTCTTTCGTTATATTTTTTACTGCTTGTTCATACATGGGGATGTAATAATTTCATTTTTATCTTAGGCCTGCAAGTCATTCAATATTAACTTTTCAATTTAATCCCAGAAGTTGTAATCAGTGTACTTATTATTATTATTTTTTTCTTTGGAGTTGATTAGGTGTTTGAGCTAGTATAAAGCTATTTTTGGGCGTCAATTTTTTTGAATTAATTTCATCTAGTTTCACATGATTCTACTTGCACGGTTCTTGCTGCAAACTTTTGGTCTGGAAACTATATTTTAAATGTCCAGAAGAGGTGTTTATTCGTTTAAATGTCTGTGTTACATTAAATGGAAAAAATGGATTTATTTGAAATAGTTAGTAAGGGTTTCATAAATCACAACTAGTTATGTTAGGGGTTAGGAGTAATGAATAAATATACAGAAGCAGTAATGATTTCTATCTCCATACTGTAATCTTATCATTGTGAAGCAGCATGTATAAACTTAATTAGTCCATTGACATAATTAACAAAAGATGAACTTTTAGATGGCATTCAAAGGTCCTCAAGGACTTCCAAATTCCAAACTTCTCAACTTTATTGGCTATCGTTATCATCTGAGATATGTTTGGATTATCCGAACATTCCTCATAAAATGTTGTCATTATTGTGATAAGGATCTTCTCCCCTTCTCATCCACTTATCACCAACGTGCTTACAGATACGTTGTTCCTCTGGAAGCATTTGCCATACCATCATTTTTTTTTGCATCCAGCCTAGATTTCTCTTTCTGATTTCCTTGTACTGTACTTGTAAACAATTTAGGAATGGTTAATTTTTATTATGAGAATAACCCAATTAAAACGTTAATTTCAAAGCCTTCGGATCTACTTTAGATGAGTGTAATATATGTACTATTTTTTCATTTCAAAATAAATTTAGTGGTTTAGAGACTCATCCTGATCAGACCATTTTTTTATTTTTCTGTTAGGAGTATGCAACCCAGATTTTCTGTTTGTGGCTGTGCTAATGCTTGCTTTGAGAATCTAAATTTTAGATGACATGCGAACATTGCAAGAAACATCTCACTATCATGCCTTCTTAAATTTGCTCTATTTGTTTTCTAGATTTGGGCTTATGCAGCGATCTGGGGATTGTATGCTAGGAACTTCATTGGATACTGTGGAATTGCCTACAGGTCTTTATTTTTTTGAGGTAATACTTTCATAAGAGGGGAGCTATGGGCACACATAGTAGGCATCTTTTTATTAGTTGGACGAGACTATAAGCGGATTGCTAATGTATATTGCTGGATTTTGGAGGATTTTTAAATGGAAGGCTGGACTCTTTACCAACGATATCATGGCAATAATAATAGGAATGGATGGGGATCTTTCTTTGGTACAAAACTAGAAATATATGACTATTGTCATTTACTCTGATCTATTGTCAGTCAGTCTTTTGTTTCTTATTGTGCTCACAACATTTTGATGCGTAAAATTTCATCATTCTTCATTGTAACGATTAGTAAATATGTTAAAACTCAGAGTTTTATGAGTTTTTCTTTTCTATGGTATTCTTTGATGTGGAAGTGGCGTCGAGGAATTTGGATCAAGGAGTAAGGCTACATAGTGGATATTGAATTCAGTTGTTTCTGGAAATTTTTGCAGATCACGGGCGAGATCCAGATCCCCAGTAACTTCTGTAAGTCAAATATTATAGAGATTTATATATGTACCACAAAATTTTTATGTATTTTTATATTGTATGTTTAAATTTTTATATCAACTTATATAACATATGTTTAAATGATCAAAGATATAATTTAAAAAAGATTTATTTCACTTTATGTAAATTAGTGGTATTTTTTGTCATTTAAAGATTGAGATGTTAGATAAATATAAATATAACTATTTAGATATTAAATATATAAATACATTTGAATTCCGTGTAATGTATGTAAATCTCCCCCACAAATATTAATATATTTTAAATTTACGCTATTATTTATTTATCAACTATTCATCTTGCAATTAAAACTATCATTGCTGCAGCCTCATGAAAAAATAGTAGGCAAAAGCCCGAAGAAACAAAACCCTGCTGCTAGGAGCAGGAGCTTGTCACGGTCCGGATCTTTTGTGCGTCTTATTCTCTAATCCTACTCTTTTTTTACGAAATAAATATTATGTTTTTGGATTTTCTGTTCTTCCTTTTGCAGGTAAGATCTGATGATTCTCTCTCCACTGACTCCAGAGGGCCTTAAATGTATGTCAAGGGTGCAAAGATTGCTGGAGGAACACTCTCTGAAACTACCATCCGTTAAATTGATAATTTAGCTCTGCTATTGTTTTGTTTAAATTTGATTATCAATTGTCTTCGTTTTGCCTGGATTGTAGGACAAGTGATTTTAAGTCAATGGCTACAGATTTATAATCACCAAAAACGTTTGAAGACTTGATACCGTTTCCTCCACTTCCATTCTTCGAAAACAAACACAAATTGGGTATTTTGATCTTTTTTGTATGTTTTAAGTGTCAAAATCTGATGAAACGTTATATTTGGTTACCTTACTTGGTAAACATTATATTGTAGTTATGCGTGTTGTATGAGCTCTCAATGGTTGAAATGCTTAGAAAAATCCTCCTAGTTTTCAGCTTATGCTTCTAAAAAGTACAATTTCATTAGAGGAATACTGGATGGGCCTTTTTTATTGTTATTTATATAAGCTAATGCGCTCGTGCTGGAGAAGTAATATGGATGTTTGCTTGTGCAGGAGTCTTGTATGAACATAACACATATTAGTCCATTCAATATATACTAATCAATATTAAGATTGCAAACATCATGTATGACTTCTGTGAAATCAAGCTTTGGAGTGCAGAATTTTATGTTATGGCATCTAACATCAGTGAATAATTTGAATCTTTTTTTTTTAATAGCTTTTTATTGACTCGAGTGCTGAGAATTTTCTTTGTTAATTCATTGATATTTTGCTATTATTGCCATTTAGTGTGGATAACACATTAATGAATTCCTTACTAAGAGTTTAAATTATTAGTAATTGTTTTGAAATGAGTAACTTTTCTTGGGTCAAATTGGTTTACTTCTCACGGAACTAAGAATAAGGAATGTACATATTTAGAACAAACTTCTTGATTAGTTGGCTCAAGCTTTTTATGAACAGCTTTCAGCATGCAAACATGATTAAATTCAATTGATGTTAGAAGGGATTATTATTATCAATCGCCCTGTGTATTTGGTCTAAATAAAATTCCATTGTTGTATATTAAGATCTTGAATAAAATAATCATATGACATTTTGAGTGATTATGGTGAATGGGCATCAGCTTAGGTAGAAGAATGTAGAACAAAAATAAAAAACACATTGCAAGCATGTGGAGTTAATGGGGTTTAAGGTTCTTAATAACTTAACTCCAACTTCTAAATGTAATAAAAATTTTGTAAAATATTGCTCGCTCAACTCCCTCTGTGGAATTTTTATTCTGTACAGAGTTTGGGCATCGTCCAGAGATCAATAAAAATGCGCCTCATCATCTCAAAAGTATATAGTGCTCGATACTGAACATGATACCGATGCTTGATATCGAGTGGTACCGAACGGTTCTCCAGTTTGGTGTACACACATAATAATATCTCCTCTTTGTGGCCCTATGTTTTCACTTGAGCATGATTTAGTTGACGTCTAGCGTCTTCTCCATCAGATTGACTCATTCAATAAGAAAACGCAATGTAAGCATCACAGAGTAGGGACCTCTGCACTTAGGTTACTAGTTGAGAGAGATTTGGACTCGTCATAGTTGTCACGACTAGGCTGTGGGAAGTTTCTTGAGTAACGAAGATTTGGGCAACTCCTTAGCCGTAGGAGTTTTCATAGATTGAGCTTCCGTAGAGGGTGGCACATATTGGCTTGCGGTGGTGGGAGTTGCTCCTATTATATAAAGGGAAGGATCATGAAGAAGAAATCATTTGTCCAAAAGACATCAGGATTGTTTAGCAAAAAGTATTTCAAATACATGAATTTTATAAATATTGTTGTTTAGTTAAAATAAAAAAAATGCAAAGTAAAAATTTGAGGTATTTAGAATTCACCCCTAGTTCAATTTTAATGTATTGGAAATCATTATATTTGATTAATTTTCTAATAAATTGAAAACTCTTTGCATTGCTATCATCACCGTCGGGCAACGCCATTTCCCTATTGGTTGTTATAGCTTACCTCGCACCGACTCCTATTGACCATTGCTCAAAATTACTATCAGTGCCTACATTTGACCTCCATTGCTGCCAACCACCAGCTGCTGGCTACCGATTGCTGATCGATGCCCTCCACTATTATTGTCGGCCACTACCCATCACTATGACCTATCACCAATGCTCGTTGTTGCTATTGCCTCCAATGATCACTGTCCACTATTATTATTGAGGTTTATACTTTATTTATTCAAAATATAATTATTTTACACTCATAAAAAAATCAAAATATTTCAAATATATTGCATTCATCTTTTATTGTATTCCTTTTTCAGCAAGTCAAACAATTATGTAATGGAGTATCTAATATGCTATTAAAAAAAATCTATGATCATGATGTTCAAGCTTGGTGCCTATTGAGTCTGCTGCAGTGCCTCAAACTAGCAAATGAAGGTTTAAGAACTTACTCGAGCTTAAGTGGACTCTTGGCTTGTTAGAGGCTAGTGAATCTTGACCTCCATTTATAACTTAAAAACCAAGAAAGTGCTCCCTCTATCTTCTCGCCAATTGCATGCAACTTTGTGACCTCCTCATAAATGAGGTTAAGATTATTGATGGCTTGACTAAAGGCCGAATCATTATAGCTCCTAAAGTAAGGGCCCCGACCTCAGGGTCCACACTCGTTGTTGCATGTACTATGTACGTGCAAAGAAAAGACTCACATTGTTCGTTTCTCAGTGATGGACATTTCATCGAAGCTTGACAAGAGGATCACCCTCTCCAAGATCTCCAACAGCAACACTGCCTTACTATATTCAACTTTTCCAATTTATTTTATTATAATCATTGTCACATTCCAGGATTTATATTTGAATGATTACATCTGTCTTTCATTTTAATCACTTAACTTGAGCTTACCAATAAATAGCGAAAAAAAAAAACATGATTGTTTTTTTGTCTTGTATGGAGCCTTATATCATTGGATCTTCACCCTTTTCCTGAAAATATGTAAAACCACATAATGAACACAATAACAGTAAGAGTGAAGCGTCTTCTTTATAAATCATATAAATAAATATATAACAAGTAACTAAAATCTTATAACTAAAATTAATGCAAGAAAAAATAGAGCAATATGTTATAAATCATATAAACAAATATATGTATAAATGTTTCTACTGATTATATGTATCAATTTATCATTCCATAGTTCATCTCATTTCAATCCATTATGTCATCAATTACAATAGCAGTGACATTGAACAATACTAATGCCAATAAATATTAATATCATGATCAATAAAGTTAAATATTATTAATGATAGTAAATAATATTAGTGTCAGTCACAATCAGTATGATATCAGTAATAATATTAGAACAATATTCGTAGCAATGTACATATTAGCATTCAGATATTTAATGAGTGTATCTTAAGGGTATCTTGCTCCTGCACTTATGACTCTCAATCAGCTGCCCCTTATAACTTCCAATCAATATCGGTGGGGTGAGGTAAGGATAATATATATATATATATATAATTCATGGCCTAATGCCACAACGCTCAAAAGATCAATGCCAAAGCGCTCAACTAAAAAAATTTCATATTTATCAAGAAAATTTATTTAACATATTTGAGCTATTACAAGCGCGACTGACTTACTCAGCTTTGGGCTGATGGGCAAGCTTGCCTCAATAGCCACCATCTTTTTCTTCCTCATCGGCGAGCTAAACTTCCTCTTCTCAACTTTTGCCAACTTGGGTTTATAGAGAAGCGTCTTTTTCAAATTTTATTGAATATAGTTTAGTTGAATTTAATTCTAAAAGTTTCCAATTCAAATATTGTTTTGAGATTAATCATATAATTTTTTTTTTTGTAGATGTACCAAAGCTATTTTATTTTTATCATCATATGAAAGGAAATTAAAATAAGATTTTGTTTTAGCTTAAGCTCAAGCTAAAAAAAATGTATATATAACCAAACTTAAATATTTAATTAAAATTTAGTTAAAATAGCTTAAATATTATTATATTAAGCTAGACCTAAAGATAAATCTATTTGACGAAGATAGAAGATAGAGTTAATTAAAAAGTTTAAAATAAGGTAATAAACAACTTTTTCTAGGTCATTGCTTAGTTTTTTTATCTATCTTTAGAGTAAACAAGCCATCATAAACTGGATTACAAATCATGTAAATAGATTTTTTGGCCTTTAAATTAACTATTTAGTGGATCATTGCTAAGTTATTGAGTTGTCGCTAAGTGGTCATCAACTCATCAAAAATCCTTTGAGGGTCATTGATAACCTCCTAAGCTAGGTACAAAGAAAAGAGATATTGCAACACAAAAATGTTATTTTTGGTGGTTCTAACTGCCACAAAATACTTGTAGCTATTTTAAAAACGCTACAACATCATCGTAATTATAATTTATTGCAAAGATATTTTGCAACTGTTTAGAAATTACTGGGAAAGAGTTTTTAAAGTGAAAGTTATATCAACTATTTTAACAACCACTATTTTGAACATATAGTACAATTTTAACCACAACTTTTGGTGCTCGATATGATTGTATGTGGAAGGTTAGATGTGAGAGGCGAGTAGTTGTGACGAAGCACATGAACAATCTCACAATCTAGTAGGAGGATAAAGGGTGTGTCGTGCAGTAGCTGTTCATCTTGATCAGGTTAGGAAGGAGGTTAATTTGGGCAAAAAATATATTGGTATTGGTGGCGGTTTAAACCGCTGCTGTTTGAGGTAATATAAATCGCCACTGGTTGAGGTGGTTTAAATCTCCGCCTAAAAGAATCTTTAGCAGTATTTTAAATTACCGCTACGAACTGTAACAAATTCCAACATTTTTAGTCATGTAGGTAATGTGCATATCAATTTTTTTATTATGAATCAATGCCTTTCATTTGCCATTCCTAGTGATCTAGAAAATTGAATTTAAAGTATTCAAATGAGCGGTTATGAATATCGAACCTATTCTTCTTACTTAAAGGTTAATAAATTCACCACACTTAACAAACTTTTTGAGACTTTCATTTAAAAGATCGTAGATAAAAGATAAAAAATTTTGTTCTATTGGTTCAACATTTATGATTATCCAATCTTCACACTAAGATATTACTATTTATGTATTTCCTTTTTCATTTCCTTCTTCAATAATCTACCAAGTCTTTTGTAGAACACTTAGAGGTGGTGCTCTTACCCATAATAATGAGAAGGGCATACTTCCATAGTAGAGGTGTAAGAGGTTTCTCTTACTATGAGTGAATTAGTGATTCAAGTACGTAGAGTAATTATGCATGGATGTAGGCTACTAAGAGTTGAACTATGTACAAGTTAGTACATTTCAAGATCTTTTTTTGGCATTTTTATTTCCTATTTGCATATTTTGTTCTTATGTAAGCTTTATATATGAATTTTAAAGTAATCACAAGTTTTTAAAATACCCTATTCACCCCTC